CCCTGCAAGTCTCCCAATTGCCCAGATCCCTTCTGCAGGCCCCACCTACCCCTGAGCCCCACTGTGGACTGTACTTGCCTTCCCCAATTCCCACACAGATCCTGCCTGCCTCCCGATTTACCCACAGACCCCCATTCCCTCCCCAGAGTCTGGTTGCCTCCTCCTGATCTGCCCAACCCCACCCCATCCCGACTTACACCTTAGACTGGGTGGCCATTTTTAACTTGATCTAACCTCCCCAAGTGTCTGTATGCAGACAAGTATGGGGAGCACAATTTGGCTTTTAGTGGTCATACAAGGAATTGCAAGACATGCGGTAAACTAAACAACTTTACCCCACGTTTCTTGATTGCCTTGTTAAGTAGCTTTACAACATCTGCTCCTTCAACTCCACTGGCTTTGTAGCGTTTTGTCCATGTTATCAGAATCCCCTGATAAAAGGAGAGTAACATTAAATACATTATTAAATCAAAAACAAAAAATGCAATTTTTCTTAAAAATAAGACTTCAAATGTAACTTCAAATCCTTTGTTTAGGACAGTCTTTATCTTTATTCACCACACCGTCCCATTTTGATGACCAATGCTTTTTGTTTCTTATTAGAGTTGGTTAAAAAAATAGGGCAAGATTTTCCAAAGGCTTTTTCCTTATTTATTTTTTTATATCAAATTTGCAACCCACTTTACATATGGAGCCATTTCATGACTGGGCTCCTTCTCCTTCATTCCAATTTCCCACTTTGGTGTCAATCTTTCAAGAGCTGGGACTCAGCAACTCCCAGGAGCGTTTCTATTGCAAGTGAGACCTAATAAGGAAACTTAGAAGGTTCATGTGGGAAGGACTAGAGTTGGTGTCAGGGAAGGTAATTGAGTTAATGATACCAAGAATCATTCAAACCATTCATCACTAGTACTAACTCTCATCAGTGGAGAGCAAAGATGGGCAGGGAATGTCTCAGTTGCAAGGTTGGGGGGATGGAAATCACTCAAAGGTTAAATGGAAATACAATGAAGATTAAAAAGGCATTTAAAAAGCATTAGGTTAAAAATATTAAGAAATTAAATATGCAAGCAATCCAATAAATCATAAATGACTATATAAAAATCATTTTTAAAATGCTGCGTGTAAGTCAGTAAGAAAAAAAATGGGGGTTAAAAATTATTAGAATACTGAAAAGGGAAATGGTTGAAGATGAATAAAAATAAGAAAGATTTAAAATAGAGTTCAAAAATCAAGTATAGGTACAAATAGGTACATAGGTTAAATTATCCAGATGAGGACAAAATATAGTTCAAATAAAAAAACCTAAACACCTTGTATTGCATCCCTCACTCAGTAGTTTATCTGTAAATTGCCTTAATTAGGCTACAAACTCCCTTGGGGTAAACTTTATGCCTGGCAGTTTTGTGTGTCTGGATGGCGCCTAGCTCATTTTGGGGCATTCAGCGAATAAATAATAATGGAAAGAAGCAAGTGAGTTTCTGGTCAACAGGAGAGAAAAGAAGATACAAACAAACATAGTTTCTTCCATCTCTCAAATGCACACACCAAAATTATTCCTCTGTCCAGGCATTTAACAGTACTTATCACAGAAGATTCAGAGGGCTTTCTAAAAAGTTATGTCCACCCTCACAGAAGATTCAGAGGGCTTTCTAAAAAGTTATGTCCACCCTTGGGCCATAACCCTCCTGTAGATCTATAAGATTCTCCTCTTCAAACAACTGGCTGCCACACCTTACAAACTCTTTCTAAAGAATAATTTCTCCTCTCTGGAAAACTGGAGTTTTATTTCAGCGAACACAAGAGAAAGATTTCTCAAGGCTGCTCTGCTTAAAGAGTGTTTTACCCTTTCCAGAGCACACATACATACACATATACACACACACACAGTGTCACAAGTTCCTGTATAGCTTCTCAAGTCCACTAAATCACTAAGGATCTACAAACAAGATCTTTTAGAACCCAGAGCAAGTCTACCTACGGGTGGAGGGACACACTTCTGTATATGCCAATGCAAATTCATATCCACAGGATGCAAACTCTTGTTCTTGAATTATTTTTACTACTTACACAGAACCACATACATGAATGGCTCTATAGAAATAAGTCTATAACCCTTTGCTGTAATCTTCTCTCATGAGGTAAATATTCTTACAGCAGAACCAGTGATTGAATGGTGTGGGTGCACAAACAAGAATGTTGGCAAAGACCTGGTACAATCATCACATATATCTTGGAGACAGAGCAAAGGGAGCTGGGGACTGCTTGGGCTGGTGTGACCAAAGAAAGCAGAGGACTACATATACATTTCAAAGCAGAACCTGTAAGAGGTGAGAGACTGAAAGCATGAGAGGCATGCTATATGCGACTATGGTCAAGGCATCCAAGGGTGAGAAGGAGGTGTAGATTTGCCTATAAAAACCCAAGCAGAGATGAGGTCTGTGGAATCTCCACCCCAATGCCTAAGACCCACAGATTCCCCAAAAGGACCTTCTGAATCCCTGGCTATATGGAGACACTTTGCCCTTGGGACTAGGAAAGAATCATGAAAAGGCTTTCTGTTGTCTTTTTGGTTTATTATATTGCATTTTAAATTAGACTAAGTTGTGTGTATTGTCACCATGCCTTACTGGGCTGTGTCTTACCTTAGGTGAAGTTTTCTGTTGTTCTTTGTCATATGCTTGAAGCTGAAAATTGTTATGGTCAATACACACTCTTCAGAGAATGAATTGCTCTTGTTCAAGCATTTATGAAGTCAGTGCCACTACCTAAAGTCTAATATTAAAACTGGTAACAAGAGGACTACGAGCCACCAGTATGATACAGCTGTGCTTAACAGGGGGGCCCTACCCCTTGTTATTTTAAAAAGTAAGAGAGCAACATTATATGGCTGTAATTGGGAAGCACCTGAATTGAGTCATTTATCAGAATGTAAGAAGCTGAAAGGGCACAAAGACAGAAGCCACAAAATGTACGAGTAACTGCTTGAGAGGTAAGAGGTAGAGCCTTGGAGTAGTTAGCTAAAGACTGTAGAGCTGCTAGATAGGCAGCAGCAGAAGGGAGAGAGCTTGTTAATCTGCTGGTGGAGCCCAGGGGAAGATAAGTCCAGCTCTGAGGCCAGACACCCCGGTCTTGTCCTGATCTCTAAAGAAGAGGAGCTCCTGTCAACATAGCTGCTAAAGGAAAAGTTGCAGACCTAGAAAGTTACCTCAAAGGCTGAGAGGAAGCCAGCTGAGAGGGTATAGAGTTTTGCAGTAATATAGAGATACAAGGTGGGGTTTAAGGTTTGAGACAGATTGGTCGATTTAGGTTTAAGCTTTGGTTTAACCATGAAGTTTCAGAGTGGCTTAAAGAGGAAGCAATGGCCATGGAAGAGTGCCAGCAAGGTACTCTGTACTGGAGCTGAAGGAACTGAAGTCAAGGGACACCTCTGCAAGAGCCAGGTAGGCTGACTCCCAGACAGGGCCAGGGGTCTAGGAAAGGTTTGCAGGAGCTTGATGGGCTGAAGCCCAGGTAGGGTGAGAGCCCAGTAAGCTGAAATTCAGACAGGTTGGGGGCCCAGGGAAGTTTGTAGGTAGAAGCAGCCCTGCAAGGCCCATGGGCCCAGTGGACTAGAAGCCCAGGCAGGGTAAGACAGCCCAATAAACTGAAGTTTAGATGGGGGCTGGCAGCCCAGGGAACTGCGGTATGACTGAGGCCAGCTGCAAAAAATAAGATATTCAAGGCATGAGTGTGGCTATGGGGGAGGCTGGAAGCCATAATTAGTGCTAGTGAAGCATGGACTATTTTTAGATAGCAGGCTCAGAGTCCTGTGTCACAAGTAGGGCTCAGGGTCTAGCTAAGCAAGCCAAGTTAGGCTGAGTGCAGCAACTTCACACTCACTCTTTGGGAGCACCCTCCCCAAATACTGAAAAAAATTACATCAAGGCACGACAGCCAAAGCAGTGAAGAAGATACCCTGAGGAGCCAGTGTGGGGCAGGATTAAATCAGCCACCCACAGGGGCCAGTCCTGCTACACTATGCAAAAGGAAAATGTTGGCTTACAGTATACCAAGAAAGGTATTTCTAACAATGATAGGGAAGTACTAACACCACTAGACAAGGTACTTGAGGCCTCATCCAAAATAACGTGCATCATTTTAGTCACCTGTATTCAAAAAAGATGAATTTAAACAGGAATAGGCCTGGAGAAGGGCAAGTTGGACTGATGAAGGGGATGGAGTTTCTGTCATACGAGAGGAGACTAGAAGAGCTTGGCTTGTTTAGCTTAAC